TAAAACTTATTTTCTTATCAACTATTGTATCATAACTTTTAACGTCAAACCATAGCAACCAATGCCTTAAAACTTAAGAAAAAACTTTATTTTGGTCGAGAAGTTGTGCAATGCATTCATAATAAGTTTGTGTGAAATGTATGCGAGTATTAGAACTGCACTCAACTAATCCTCAATATTTTATATAAACAGTTCTAACCATTCGCTAAAATCACTTAATTTAAACGCAAAGTGCTATTAACTCAGTATTAAAAACTTTATGTAAAAATAGTTATCAATTTGTTGTTAAGGATTTGCTTTACAATTAGTATTGAAGTTGCGTTCAAATGGTATTCAAGTGAATGTACGCTACAGTGAATATGTTATACAATGTTATACAATGAGAGTGTATTATATTATATGCGATACAGTGTTTAATATACGGCTTATGGTTACGTAATGGGAATAAAATATAGTTTTAGTTCATTATAACGATTACTGCATCCGTCGTTTGCATTGATTTGAATGATAAGCATTGAAACAAACGCTCACTTCTTATCACAAATTTGCCACAAAACTAGTTTTCAAGAGAGAGAGGATGTCTTCCTCTCGTTTTAATTATACTGTTATTATCATCACTACTCTTGTGCTCAACTCATAGCCAACTATAACCATAACTGTGTCTATGATTGCGATTACTATATCAACCAATCTATACATTCAATACATAATAATCACTATATAATCAACAGGTATTCAATTCAATCATTCAAATGCGCTGTACTTTCCCTTCCCTTAACTTTCCCTTTAAATTATTTGTTATTATTATTATTACTAACCATTAAATCATTTGTTTATTTCATACAACTGTTTATCAAGTATTTAAAAAACGATTTTTTGTTTCGAGTTATTCTATAATTACTAGAATTTGATGACAACTTAATTAATTGTTAAATAATGTGTTTGTTATATAAACTTCTAGTATTACTGTTAAATAACTGTTATTATTGCGAAAGTGTGTGAAATATAATATCGATAAATTATATTTAAAATATTTGAAATTTTTAGTGTTTTTATGCGACAATTGATTGACAATTGAATTGATGTAATGAATATGGAAGTGGAGGAAGTGGTGAAGTGCGGCGCCCTATACGTGCCCTCACAGGGCTTTCTCAGGCAAAAGGTATTCAACAACTTATTCATTGTTTTACGAATATTTCCCTTAAATATCATTATTAAGGAAAAGTTATTTTAAAATTGCATTAAATATAATGTAAAGTTTGTGAACAATTAGATAAGCCATAGATGAGGTCATTCACTATAGTTTAGTCCAATTTATTCGCTTCTCGGCTATTGTTTAGCAATTGTTTGAAAATTAATTGAATTTGTGAAACAAATTGTGAATTGATTTTTTGTAATTAATTTTTGCGTAGAAATCGTGGCAAAAGAAGTATTATGTGTTGTATAAGAGTTCTCGACAGGGAATACAACGTCTGGAAGTGTTTGACAGCGAAGACCAATACGTAAAACAACATAATTGTCTGCGAATAATACCATTGAGTGATTGTGTGAAAGTGGCGCCTATGCCTCAGAAACAACAACCAAATGTATTTGAAGTAAGCGTTTATATAATAATTTATGACATTCTTATAACAAATATTTTCGCTCAAAAGTGAGGCCAAAAAAAGTTGAGAAATTGTGTTATTGGACTCATTATAATAGACCTGTAATGTAGTGAACATTGAGAAATGTACAGCATTTGCACAGGTATTTGTGCACCTGTTCTCCACATCAACATATCTCTACATATCTTACTATTGAACCAAATACTAACCCTAAAAGGACTGACAGATCTATACTGTCTGTACTGTTGCCCATTTGTTGAACGCGTTCTTGAATTTAATTCATTCATTATTTTTTATTATATTTATTATTATTATTTTTGCTCTCAAACACTAAATAAGAAAAATTTAATGCATTTCTGATCAATAATAAAGCCTTTGAGAGATTAAAATATTTTACGCAATAAATGCAAGTTTTGAATAGTTTGTGAAAACAGGTATTACAATGAAAAGTGTATACATAATAATGCATTTTATTATACTTTTATAATGACTTTTTGTTGAGACTATTCATTATATAAGTCTTCCCATAGTATTGTCACAAACAACTCATTATTATAAATAAGTTATAGTTTTTAATTATACTATATTCTGAATAAATGCTTATTTGTGGGAACGGAATGTCAGGTCTTTTTGATAGAACTTTTTTATGAACACCACATATAATGAGCTCATATTTCCTGTGCTCTTATCCCTGGATCGCAATGAGAGCA